TGCGTGAAGTTGCGAGGGCCCGATCAATGCTGCTCGCAGCTTTAATTCCTTTTACATTTACTTCTACATTTCCTTTTAAGTCTCTGAAAAATCTCACATTCCTCAGCTCATCGATTGGCTGAAGTCCAACAAGCCCCTCCTGGTTCTATGCCCCATTGTCCTAAACTTCACTCCCAGCCACTTTCACACAACCCCCGCTCCAGCACATTCCTCAAACCCCCTCTCACAGACACTTAATTCATGAAATGACCAGACTCCTACAAGTAAATATACTGTATCACATTATATCCATAATTAGGAGCTTTAAAACCTAAATTTCTCACAGGTGAGACGGACAGGTGAGGAGACAAACTCACCGTTCACGAGGTTGATGTTGTTCTGGATTTCTCTCCGAGTCAGAAACTCTTCGTAGATATCTTTCTCCTCTTGATCTCCACACTGACACACACACACACACACACACACACACACACACACACACACACACATTAGACACACACATTAGACACACACATTAGACACAGCTGGACTACAGACAGAGTCTTCTGATTGGTCAGAGAGCAGTCTGGTCTCTCACCCTATTGGCTGCCTGCTCCTTCTTCCTGGCTTTGGCCTGCTGCAGCACCTCCTGATAGGCGCTCATCAGCGCCTCCTGCAGGTCAGTGATCAGGGCGTTAGGGTTCCTCAGAGCCTCCGCCGTCACCTCCAGATGACCTCTGTCTACCGCCTCGTTGATGGCGATCACCGCAGCATGGCCTGATGGGAAAACACAGAGTTACCGCTTCCTCCTCCACGGTGTGAGCTCATAGCCAATCAGATCGTCTCTCTCTTTCTCTACCTGCAGCCTCGTCCTCTGACAGCTCATTGGCCAGAAGTCCTCCGATCTTGCTGAATGCCGGCATCTGGATTCCATATTTATCCAACTCTGACGTCATGTTGTTGATCTCCTCCTCTGAACACACACACACACACACACACACACACATCCATTGATGCTACTCACACACACATCCATTGATGCTACTCACACACACATCCATTGATGCTACTCACACACACATCCATTGATGCTCCTCTCACACACATCCATTGATGCTACTCACACACACATCCATTGATTAATGTTGATCATTATTCATCAGCAGATATTAATTTGTATTACACTATTAACATAAATAAACATTATTGATTAAGTTCCCTTAAATCTGTTTATTTAGTTATTGTGACAGACAATTGTCTGTCTGTCTGTGAGGAATCATATCCACCTGTGAACTTGACTTTTCCATAGAGGTCGTGGATCTGAGGAGCCAGACCCAGTCTGTACAGGTACAGGCTGCAGAGAGACAGGTAGAGAGAGAGAGACGGGCTGTTAACAGAAAGATGTGGAGACAGACAAGTGTAGAGACGGACAGGTGAGCTCACCTGAGTGCGTGGATACAGTAAACAGCTCTCGGCATGTTCTTCTTGTCGTAGATGTCTGTAGTTTCTGGATAAAAGATCTGAAAAACAACAACAACCAGTGATTAATACATCAATACTCTGATCACTGGTCAATACATCAATACTCTGATCAATACATCAATACTCTGATCAATAGAGCAATACTCTGATCAATACATCAATACTCTGATCACTGGTCAATACATCAATACTCTGATCAATAGAGCAATGCTCTGATCAATACATCAATACTCTGATCAATACATCAATACTCTGATCAATACATCAATACTCTGATCAATACTCTGATCAATAGATCAATACTCTGATCACTGATCAATACTCTGATCAATACTCTGATCAATACTCTGATCAATACTCTGGTCACTGACCGCTGGCAGGCCGAGTGTCGTCATGGCGATCCTCCAGTGGTTGATGTTGTCAGTGTGACGGAACTGAAGACCGACCGCCTGATGATCAATAACAGCTGATTAGTGACACGTTCACTGTGTGTGTGTGTGTGTTTACACACAGTGTGTGTGCGTGTGTAAATATTGTGTTTTAATATATGTGTGTGTGTGTGTGTGTGTGTGTGTGTTATAGACCTGGTACCGGAGCTGGTCCGGGTCGTAGATCTTCTTCACATTGACCACCTTCGGAGCGAATCGATGACCCAGTTTAGCCAGAACCACTCCGTTCCTCAGAGCCTCCTCCAGCTCAGTGGGAGCAGGAAGCTCCTCCCCCAGACACGCCTCCATCCACCTGAGGAAGTGATGTCACAGGTGATGTCATATGTGACACAACACAGTGAAACTATGTATGAGCCTCCAAAGAAGAAGAACCAGTTCAGTGTGGACCTGGACCAGGCCTGAGTGGACTTTACTGACCTCTTAGCCTCCTCCAGCCTGCAGAGGTACTGATAGGCCACATTCTGGATCCTCTGTTCATCCATCTGCTCTGCTGTCAGACGCTCATCTGGAACACACACACACACACACACACACATATACATATACATATACACACACACACACACACACACACACACACACACACACACACACACA